AAGAATCTAACCCTCTTGTGATTAAAATTTACCAATTACTGTGAATTTTAAAAAGTGTATATGCAATAGTTATGAAGTATTCTCTTTCTTTTACCTAAGGTGCTTTAAAAAAAAAAAAGAAAAACAGAGTATACTTAGTGATATGTTTGAAAGCTTAAATGGATGGTTAGGACAATTTAAGTAGAAAGGAGTAAAACGAGTTAGCTAATATATGCTACTTACCTGTAGAATCTTCGATTTCTTCACCTGTAGATTATCTCGTCAGTCTCCTGTTTCTAACAGCACCATAATTGGATGGTTCCCTAAGGACTATTTAAATAAGAATCAGAGAAAATGCATACTATATAGAACTTTCTTATGTAAAAAACTAATTATAATAAAATCCAAACAAACGTATTACAATATATCAACTGCCAGGAAAGAGAGAGAGAGAAAGATTTGTTACTTTAAAAATCTAAATATTGGTTAGAATTTCTTTATCATTTTTCCATGATTTAAATTTCCATTTTGTGAAGTGATCAACCATAGAGTATCCCTGCAGTTGACAAAGATTTGAAAGTAATGTTGTGACAGAAACTAGCTAGTTGCTTACCAAAATCTTTTCACTTTCCTCCTAGACACACAGCTAGACTACGTTTTTCAGATTTCCTTGTAGTTTCCATATTCTCCCTCTCATGATCCTTCATTCTCCATCTCCCCCTGTTTGAATCTGGATGCAGATGATCTAGAGGAGGACTCTGAAGCCTTTGAAACTGAAAAGCCACAGATGGAAAGAGCCTGGGTCCTGAATATCTATGTAAAGCAGTACCACCACCCATCTCTACATTGGAATATCACAGGAGCAAGAAATAAACAGTGTAGATTGTTGTGTCTGTTAGCCTATCGTTTGTAGTAGAAATAAGTTAAGGTAGAGTTTTTATTGAACACTATGGTAAAGCATAAAGCAACTTTGTATTTCTTGAATTCTTGAGAATTCTTCAAGAACTGAAACCAAAAATCTCATTCATCAGTGTACTTTTTGGCTTCTGATATAGATGGGAAATACACATAATTCATTTGATTAAGTAATTAATTAAGAGCCCAGAAACCAATCAAATGACAACTAAAAGTAGCAGATGAATACAAGAAAGTAGTGGACTATCAACCTTAGATACTTCCCAGGCCAGATAGCATTTGCAATAGGCATAAAGGTACAATAATAATAGAATGATCACAAAAGCTCATTTCATTGTATCAGTGAGGCAACATGCTCTGTGGTTACCAAGGACATGATCATGTGAACAGGTGGCAGTAGTAAGCACACCTGATGATTCTACTAGTGGCTAATATGTACAAAGCTAGGTGGTTAATAGTAATTCCCATGTTGTACTAAACCATAAAAAATACTTTTTTCGTTTTTAAAATTAAATCCAATTGCAATTGTGTCAAATACTGTGACATCAGTCTTTATATATTTGCTTGATGAATAACCTAGGAAAAGGATGAAGGGGAAGGGAATTGTGAAAAAAGTAGGAAGGGAAAAACAGAGAGAGAGAGGAGATAACACAGGAAGGATTTTTAAAAAGTTGAAGAAGAGGTGCCTGGGTGGCTCAGTTGGTTAAGTGTCTGACTTTGGCTCTGGTCATGATCTCATGGTTTGTGGGTTCAAGCCCCGCATCAGACTCAGTGCTGACAGCTCAGAGCCTGGAGCCTGCTTCAGATTCTGTGTGTGTGTCTCTCTCTCTCTGACCCTCCCCTGCTCACACTGTCTCTCTCTCTCTCTCTCAGAAATAAATAAAACATTAAAAAAAAGTTGAAGAAATGTATAAAAACAAAAATTTGGGATTCTACATTTAAAATTTTCTAATAATAGAAAAATTCTAAAAATAAATATTTCCTAAATATTTATTTATTACATCTAAATATATATTTATTATTACTTATTTTTATTTTATTATTGTGTATATACATATGCTATATTTAATTCCAAATGTAGAGGAAAGTTAAAAATAATTAAGTTTTACCCAAATAGGTTCCTAGCAGAATAGATTAATATGTTGGTCAGATACGAAATAACACCTCCTAAATTGTAAAAGGATTCAGAAGATAGAAATACACTTTTTTCAAGTGTTAAGAGATAAAATGTGCTTTCTTTATCATTGGGTCATGAACCAACTGATTTACTTGTCTTTTAAGTACATCTCAGCTTTGTTAGTGATTCAGGATATATCTTTTTCTTTGGCTCTGTGAAAATGTGTTTTATTTTATATTTACAAAACAATTTTTTTATGACTAGAAACAAATTTCAAGAAATAGTCAAATAAGCAAGCAATTTAAATAACTTAGGATCATCACAAATACATTTAAAAAAATCTTATTTTCTGAGTTAAACAGTTAGATTTAGGTCATTTGCGGATACTCAGAGCAGAATAATTAGATTTGTGCTAAAATGTAGGATCTGAAACAAAGAGCCCAGTTGTAAATAGTGTATATTTATACATACATATGTTTATGTATAAAAATATATACATATGTATTCTATATACATGAGTATATATGTGGGGGTATATATACAGAGTATATTGTAGGGGTGCTTCCTCTTTATCTTCTCCTTCTATTTCCTTCCCTTCCTGTACAATTTTGTCCTGAAGCCATGAGGTGGGGGCAGTGCCAGCAAGGAAGGGCAGCCTCCAGAACAGGGTTTGGAGGCCCAGGTAGAACAAGGTGGCATTTGCCTAGTAGGGTTGCGTGGCATGTGATACTGGAGACTGAGGCAGCTGATGAAGGCATCCATATAGAAGGCAAGTAGACACAGATTGTCAGAGCATGCTCAGAGTAAGGATGAGGGGGTAGGATTCACTACTGAGTGGCCTAGCCTGAGCAGTTTGAGAAGGTTGCCAGGTTGGCAGGGCTGCCCCATGCAGGGCATGAGAGCACAAGAGGCTGAGGACAGGTCTTCTCAGAAGGGTCCAGAAATTCTGCACAATGTTTTGGAGCTTAGCATGGTAAGGAGGATACCTGCCTAGAGTGTTACCAAGCACTGGTACTGGAGCCTGAACAGGGTGAGGACATTCGCAGGTAAGAAGACAGATTCACTGCAAAGACACTGAGAATATGATATTTGAGTAGGCTAGAAATGAATGATAGAGAAAGCCACATGGAATTTTTGTGCAAAAGAGATAAAGAATTTATTTGAATAGTGCAGATAAATTATCTTTGCATATTATAGTCTTTTATTTTGTTCTTTTCTGTAGAAAATAGTATGAAAATAATAAAACTAATTATAGTTTTGAAATCTAATGGATCATTACTATTATTTTCAAAAAAGTAGTTTTGGCAGCAGGTAGAGATTGGAATGTGGGAGGATATCATTATCTAATGTATGACCAAAGTTCTACTCTTACAAAACCAAATGATGCTGCTAGGAAATCTTACACACCCTAGTCAGCGTTTCTTACATATATGAGAGAATCTAGGGTTTCCACTCCCTGCATATGTTTAGTGTATCACCCTGGACATCTGCTAATGTTGAACATCTGTTTTTTTGTTTTCATTGGAAGATGTCTCAATCAGACTGCCAAAAAGAGAATGGGATCATTAGTTATTCTAGAGTGTGAAGCTATCCAGCAGATTATCCTTGTATGAGGGATAATAATGTCAGGAAAGCTATAGTCACTGCAATTAATCCTAAAGGTTGCTTTACACTGGGAGTCATTAAAGCATGATTCCAAAAATTAACTACCAAAAATCTCCAAATAAAAATAAAAGTAGTTTTATACAGCACTTATCACCTGGTAATCACTGTAAATTGATAAAATCTGAATATGAAAGTAAAAACAAAAGTAGTGAACAAAGTAAGATACTTGAATGCCTGCTGAATTCACAAGGTTTGAATTATATTTAGTGTAGTTTGAAGGTATATGTTTGGTGAAAATGAATAATCTATGTGACTTACTCTCTATTACATTGTTTATTTGATTATTTTATTAACTGTGACATGTTATTGTCCATTATGTAGAAAAAATGGAAACTTACTATTTTATGTGAAAAACCATATGCCAGAAGAGAAGTAAGCTGTTGTATATTATGTCTTTAATATTTTTATTATGTGATATAATGTATGAAACCAAATACATTATCATTTGGATTTTTTTGACTATACATAGGCCATAAGTTACTACTACAGGTTTTGATATGAATAGCTCAAATGTTAAGTGGTGTATTCTTTTGTTCTGACTAGAAATCTATTTTTATATTCATGTGTTTGTGTCCTTCTAAATTATATACAATATAAGAGACAGGAATCATGTCCTTCTAAAATATAAAAATATCCTTTTGCATTTGATAATTAGAAGCTTTCTGGGAGACTGTAAGATAGTTGCTGGTTTTTAATTTTTATATACATTTTATATAAGCATTTATTCAACATAAATGTAGACCTATATTCACTCATCATGTTCACAATTTGAGTTTAAAAACAATAAAAACAAAAATGATGGTATAGCAGAAAAAAATGATAATTTTAGTGTGACATAGCACTACAGAAATCATGCTGAGCAAATCTTGCATTTTAAAAATGCAAGCAGTCCTAATTTCATCCTTCTGTTTCTTCATTGTTTTCTATTTTATAAAATGAAAGTGTTATGAAGATACAAAAATACCTGGAAAGAATGTGTATGTGTGTTGCTTTTAAATATATATAATTAATTTATGTGTTCAAAAATTATCAATTATAAGCTACCAAAAGAACTTTATTTCAAGACCCTGTTTGTCCTTGAAAATGTGAGTCTGTCTTCATATCTGATGCTTTGCTCAATACATTATCCCATCTCTTTATCATCTGCTTGTTCAACTCCTCTGCTATTATTTTCTATCTGCTCAGTTATACATGTTCAAGGTTTACTTTGATTTTACATCTAACAGTTTGAATCACAGTACATAATGCTAAATAACTGGGGAAAAGTATTAGCTCATTTAATCAATCTAATCTTGTTTTCTCATAGGAGGATGTAAAAAATGTATATTTGGAAAGGGAACAAAAAATGGAATGGAAAAATTTCAAGGTATAGTACTATATATTAAAACAAAATACATAGAATAACTAATCATTCTTTCCTTATGGCAACCTATATTACATTAGTGAAAACTTTTTCAAAGAGTACGAATATTAAAGAAAATAATGATAATAATGGATTTAAAAAAACATTTCTACTGAAAAAATATTGTTTAATTCTTTAGAGCTTAGTACTATCTTGTAAGAAATATGTAAAATTAATTTGTAGTAATTTAATTTTTTCCAAATTTAGAGGGAAGAATATGCTTTAAGGACCTACTGTGGGCTAAGCAGTTTATATATGCTGTTGTATAGTTTAACCTCCTTAACTATAGTTATTGATTTTCTTATTTTATGGTAGAGGAATTTAAGGACTGTAGAGATTAAGGAACTTGTTTAGATAACACAGATAGCTAAGATAACTGTCAGTAATACAACTCGGGTTTGCCCAATCCAAAAACAATGAGTTATTTTTAATTTTATGGTTCTTCTGTAAGAGCGATAGCATGCAGTTGGCATGTGAGGATAAAACTGTCTTTATTTTGTGATGTATATGCCAGAGGAAAACTTAGTGACTATGGTTATTTCCACATTGCTATGGAATTAATCCAGTCTTTTAGCACTTAAAAACTTGACTGCCAGAATCATTATCATTATTATCACCATCCTTATCACCACTATCTCCACCATTGCTTATCCAACAATGGGTGAAACCCTTTAAATATCTCATTTGTGTGGCTCTTTAAGTGAGTTTAGAAACAAAAAAAGTGGCGGGATAACTCTGGAGATTGTGGGACTGCTGAGACACTTAGTCTCTAAAACATGAAGAAAATTTTGAAACATAAGGAAATAAGACAATGGGTCACCTTTTAAAGTAACAACTTCTCTTTATTTTTCTGGCTAACATGATACATTAATGTGGTATGAGATACTACATAAGAAATAGAAAGTAAAAATGACAGGCAGAAATTTTAAGTAGGTTTTATTAAAGAAAACCTTCAATGATGTATCATTTGATCTCTTTAAGTACAGTTATTGTTTTTTCCTATTTTATGGAAATAAGAAATAAACAGGATAAGGGGTAAAGGTCTTCAAGCAGGTCAGTGTTAGGCTTTGGATCTGGAATACTATAGGTAAGTGCTGCACTACTATGTGACCTTAAACCCAAAGGTGTTTCTCCTGTATGTTGTAGGCATGTAGAGTAGGGTGGGAGCACTGACCCATCTATAAGACCAAGTATGTCAGAAAAACTTTCCAAATATTTATTTCTATTAAGACAAGAACAGTGAGGCAAAGAGTGTGGAGTGAATTCCCACATCAAAGTACTACTTTCCATAGCCATCTGCAATGATGAATTCTAACTCTGTGTTCTTGATAAGCTGGTTCTTATGAATTTGTTCATATTCTTGTCAGTCAGTGAGCACTGGTTTAGCTCCCACTGGTATTTGCAATGCTTCAAATATTATAATTAACTAAAAATCAGGCATATTTCCTTTTAAATTCAGGTCTTCTCCAAAATAAAATCTTATTTCTTTAATCTTATAGACAAAAATAAATAGTTAACACTTTCCCAATTTCCCTTAAGAAATCCAAATCTGTGTTTAAAGATTTTCATGTGCTTCTTAAAGAATTTTGCCCCTGTCAAAAGCTGCCCTACTGAATTTCTTTCATATCCCTAAAAGGCCATTCTCTGTGTTGTCTGAAACACCTTTACCTGTACTGATCTGTAACCAATTATTGTCAGTTTCACAGCTAGGTTATAGTTTCAATAAGGGAGAGATATTGACAAGCACAGTGCCTGTTACATGATGAGAACACAATAATTCTAAAGAATAAATGAATTAATGAATAATAAACATACTACCAGAGATGCTTTTCCGGTTGAAATGGCTCAGAATAAAGGTGCCGTAACTTTGCTGGTATCTTCTAAAATCTACGATGGAGCAATCCCTGAAAAATCTGGGAGCTCCAGGCCCTTCATTCCAACTACTGTTTCTTTAAAGATTTTGTGCTGTCAGACACACTTTCATCACATAATTAAGAAATGATTCATAAACTTCTGTCTGAATATATCAGAATCTCAGATTTATTAAAGTTGTCCCAGGAACAATTTATGAAGAGCAATCCACAGAGTTGTTGTACCTGATGCTTGTCAGTCTTGTCCCAAATACTAAAATCTAGATTATTTGCTAACTGTGCAGATGTATCTACCACACACAGGAATTCTTAAAAATGTCCTGTTACCCATCATTTGATTATTGGTCTTATCAGGATGTCTATTCTAAAGCTAAGGAGTTGTCATGGAACTCAACTTTAACTTCCTTTCCTGTAGCATATACATCAAGGAATATTGAAACACCTAAGCATTTTTTAAAAACTTCATGAGAATGAACATATCAGATTTCATATTTATAGGCATTATACATGTACTATCAAGAACAGATTGTGAGTTTTCATGTTCATGCTTTCTAGTCTAGCAGCCTTAAGAAGTATAGGTATTCTATAGACATTTTCTGATTGGTTCATAAAAACTTGAAATAAAAACCAATTGGAAAGTGTATGGAAAATATATTTTTACACACTATGGTGTGTTAATCAATGTTTAAAAAACTACCGACCTCCCTCCAGCAAAACAAAACAAAACAAAAATCTTTGACTTGTAGCAATTTGTACCCAAATGTTTCCTGAGCATTGTTTCATGTGTCTGTTGGCCATCTGGATATCTTCTTTGTAGAAGTGTCTGTTCATGTCTTTAGCCCATTTCTTCACTGGGTTATTTGTTTTTTGGGTGTTGAGTTTGATAAGCTCTTTATAGATTTTGGATAATAACCCTTTATCTGATATGCCTTTGCAGTGTATTCAGGGTCAGAAGGTTGAGAAGAAAATTAATTTTTTTGGCTTTTTAAAAATCGCAAGCATGTGGCAGTGAGGGATTCAGTGACTGCTGGTATAGTTCGTGCTATTATTTTGAATCATTCTTCTTTTTTTTTTTTCAAATAGTTTATTGTCAAGTTGGTTTCCATATAACACCCAGTGATCATCCCCACAAGTGCCCTCCTCCAAGCCATCTCCCCCCTACCCCCTACCCATCAGTCCTCAGTTTGTTCTCAGCATTCAAGAGTCTCCCATGGTTTACCTCTGTCCACCTCCCCCATTATTTCTCCCCTTCTTCTTTCCCATGGTCCTCTGTTAAGTTCCTCCTAACCCTCCTATATGTGCAAATATATGGTATCTGTCCTTCTCTGCCTGACTTATTTCATTCAGCATAATACCCTCAAGGTCCATCCATGTTGCTACACATGGCCAGATTTCATTCTTTCTCATTGCCATATAGTATTCCATCGTATAGATAAACCACATCTTCTTGATCCATTGGTCCGCTGATGGACACTTAGGCTCTTTCCATGTTTTGACTATTGTTGAGAGTGTGCTATGAATATTAGGGTACATGTGCTCCTATGCATCAGCATTTCTGTATGCCTTGGGTAAATTCCTAGCAGTGCTATTGCTGGGTCATAGGGGAGTTTTATTGTTAATTTCCTGAGGAACCTCCACACTGTTTTCCAGAGGGGCTATACCAGTTTACATTCCCACCAACAGTGGAGAGAACTGGACAAATTCCTAAACACACACTCACTACCAAAATTCACATGGGAAGAGATAGGAAATCTGATCTCAGGGGGAAAGCTCTCAGTTTTTCCCCATTTAGGATGATGTTAGCTGAGGGCTTCTCATAAATGGCTTTTATGTTTAAGTAAGTTCCTTCTATCCCAACTTTCTCTAGGGTCTTTATTAAGAAGGGATGCTGTATTTTGTCAATTGCTTTTTCTGCATCTATCGACAGGATCATATGGTTTTTATCTTTTCTTTTGTTGATGTGATGTATCACATTGATTGATTTGTGAATATTGAACCAGCCCTGTAACCCAGGAATGAATCCCACTTGATCTTGGTGGATAATTCTTTTCATATGCTGTTGGATTCGATTTGGAAGTATCTTGTTGAGGATTACTGCATTCGTATTCATCAAGGATATTGGCCTGTAGTTCTCTTTTTTTTTTTGCTGGATCTCTGTCTGGCTTGGGAATCAGAGTGATGCTGGCTTCATAAAATGAGTCTGGGAGTTTTCCTTCGGTTTCTATTTTTTTTGGAATAGCTTGAGAAGAATTGGTATTAATTCTGTTTTAGATGTCTGATAGAATTCCCCAGAGAAGCCATCAGGTCCAGGGCTCTTCTTTGTTGGGAGATTTTTGATAACTGATTCTATTTCTTCACTAGTTATGGGTCTGTTCAGATTTTCTATCTCCTCCCGTGTGAATTTTGGTACTGAGTGTGTGTAGGAATTTGTCCATTTCTTCTCAGTTGTCCAGTTTGTTGGCATATAACTTTTCATAGTATTCCCTGATAATTGCTTCCATTTCTGAGGGATTGGTTGTAATAAGTCCGTTTTCATTCATGATTTTGTTTATTTGGGTGCTCTCTCTTTTCTTTTTGAGAAGCCTGGCTAGAGGTTTGTCAATTTTGTTTATTTTTTCAAGAAACCAACTCTTAGTTTCATTGATCTGCTCCATTGTTTCTTTGGTCTCTATGCTGTTTATTTCTAATCTGATTTTTACCATTTCTCTTCTTCTACTGGGTTTGGGGTGCTCTTGTTGCTCTCCCTCTAGTTCCTTTAGGCGAGCTGTTAGATTTTGTACTTGCACTTTTTCTAATTTCTTGAAATGGGCCTGGAGTGCAATGTACTTTCCTCTTAGGACTGCCTTTGCCGCATCCCATAGATTTTGGATTGTTGTATTTTCATTTGTTTCCATATATTTTTTAATTTCTTCTCTAACTGCCTGATTGACCCATTCATTCTTTAGTAGGGTGTTCTTTAACCTCCATGTTTTTGGAGGTTTTCCAGACTTCTTCCTGTGAATGATTTCCAGTTTCAAAGCATTATGATCTGAAAGTATGCATGGTATGATCTCAATTCATTTATATTTATTGAGAGCTGCTTTATGTCCCAGT